ATTACCAAAATTTGGATGATTTTGAATATTCACTTGAAAAGTTATCAAAGAAAAACATTTTTCATTTTGTAACTTCGAGGGCCCGTAACTTGGTTACGAAGACTTTTAGGAAAAAAAGTTATATGAAGTACTGGTGATATTTTGACCCCATCTATACATTCCCAAAAGGAAAAGAGGAAGTCCAGGTACACCCTGTATAGTGGAATAAAATTTCTCAAACTGTATCAAAATGTCATGGATCACTGAATAGTTCAATCAATCAAATTATGCATACATGTAATATCAAACGTAGTGAATCACTATGATGGGCATTCTTGACATCGATGGATCCCAAGTCCAAAAATGGAATTGTTACTCAAATCTGTTTTTTTTTCACGTGTTTCAATGTGTCTGTTCGTCAGTAATAGCGGAATAACCTTTCTCAAATTGAATCATAATATGGATCACTAAATATTTGAATAAATCAAATAATGCATCTTTTCATAACGAATCAGTATCGGCATTCCTGACATCAACAGATCCAAAGTCCTCAGATGCGATTGTTACTCAAGTCTGTTTTTTTTTCACCTATTTAATGTGTCTGTTCGTCATTAATAGCGAAATAAAATGTATCAAACTGATTTATCATGTATTAACTTTACATCATCTCACGTGAGATGCGTTATGGTTCAATGAATATTCAGATCATACTATTATTGTATTGATGTAGAGGGACTACATCATCTTACGCTTGATGGGTTATGGTTCACTGATTATTAAATTGAAAAATTATGATCAAATATTGTATATATGAAAATTCAAACCTAGTGAATATACAGGATATATAGTGGAATAAAATTTCTCAAACTGGATCAAAATGTCATGGATCACTGAATAGTTCAATCAATCAAATTATACATACATGTAATATCAAACGTAGTGAATCACTATGATGGGCATATATGCTAAGGGATTTTTTTCAGAATGCTGTTCTGACTGTTCAACTGCCATAACGCCATTTCGATCATACTGAAAATGACAGTCATTCAGTTCTCCAACGAATTGTTGAACTTCTGCATTTATTTGGTCTTGTACCAAACCGTCTTCTTGTGAATGATTACTGAACTGATGTTGCTGGTATCCCTCTATTTCTTAGCAGAAAATATCGTTGTGATGGAAAAGTTTAATTAATAATCTGAAATATGATAAAACCAGAAAATTATCTTTACTTGACAATCACTCGATTAACACGTATATCATCAAGTATACTAATGCTCACTACTCTAATTTCCAGACTCTTTTATAGTACCTCTTTAATCGGCCGTCCGGAAAGTACCTGCAGGTTGATAGGGGTTGAGGCGCCACTTATGAGTTTCGATGGATTTTAATCAAGTGATACATATCAAATGGATTTATGTAACAATTTCATTCGAGGACTTTCTCTTCGAATGGAAACCAAAGTGCTCTTTCGCATGATCTCTCAAAAATATCATTTTAGTTGCTTGGCTTTTCATTTCATACATTTAATAATCAGTGAACGATAACTCGTCCCACTTAAGATGATGTAGAGAAATTACATATCAATTCAGTTGAGAATATTCATTTCAGTATTACTGACGACGAGATACATTGAAACAGGAGAAAAAGAAATGGATTTATTTAACTCGAGAAGAGCCACGAGACCTTTTCAAGGTTCCAGTTGATTACGCCCTAGCTCATTGCGTAGCAGAGGATCTCCAAATGTCCAAGGGCATCGCTGTGGTACAAGAAATTCGGCCAGCTTCAAACATCACGAGAACAGAATCCAGAAGTCGGAGGAGTCCTACAGTTGAAGAAGGGTCAGAGAAACATCTTCTACTTGGTGACCAAAAAGCATTATCGAGACAAACCGTCCTATGAAGATGTCTGGAGGAGTCTTACTAGACTGAAGGAGACGATGCTCGACCAGAATCTCGTGGAGTTGGCGATCCCGAAATTAGCCTCTGGGCTCGATAGGCTGGACTGGAGAATTGTGAGAAGCATGTTGGAAACGATCTTCAGATCCAGCGGCATCCAGATTTTGGTGTGTGGTAACCATCTTCCACGACCGAGCATAAAGACTGTGGAGTGTTACTTCCATCGAACTTCACAGTGCAAATATGGAGAGTTCTGCAGGTATCGACACAAGCCGGCCCTGACCGACGCATGACGCATCACGAAATACCGCGAAAACTCCGGATAAGTCCCGAAATCCGCAGTGGTCCGGAACGTTCGTTGACGATATAAAAACGTCGCTCGTCGTCCCGAAGAGTAGTCTGTACCAAGAAAGCGAATCGAGCGGTTAACAAACGGTGAAGATAAATTAAGCGTTAGTTACTGAGTGGTGTAAATAAATTAGTTGTGATAGTGAAGTATTGTTAAAATAAAATTGATTAAGACAGTTAATTCCTAATTCGTTACAATACCTATTCCACAGTGAGCATCTGAATTTGGTGATTTCAGAGTCACTTTCAGCAGGAATCACACCTATTCGATTTATGTCTTCGAAACTGCGGAGGATCTCGACTCCTGAACTTGACCCATCCCCTATATTATCCAAAAAATCATTAATTTTTTGCTGGGCTTCACAATGATTTCCGATTTCCTGATTTATTATTTCGACTTTGTTTTCCACCAAACGAAAAATACCCTCGTCGAAACGATCCTGACCGATGATAAATTCTTGCCCATTGTTTCCTTCCTCAACGTGATTCGTGGTCCTCGCCTGATTGATACCTTCATATTCCACCAAGGGATTTGTATGCTGATCAGCAGATTTCGGAATTCGCTGACTGTCCTCAGTGTCATTGTGAAAAATGATCGGGTTCGCGCAGTCTATCATATCAATCTCCTGTTCCATGAATGTTTGATACGTATATGCTGTCGTTGCTTCAAAGGGAACTTTCTCAGATTGTTCAACCGCAATAACGCCATTTTGATCATACTGAAAATGACAGTTATTCAGTCCTCCAACGAATTGTTGAACTTCTGCATTCATTAGGTCTTGTGTATTGCTAATTGCTAATGGCGCCAAAGCGTCTTCTTGTGAAGAAAACTCCGGAATTCGCTGACTGTCCTCAGTTTCATTCTGAAAAAAGATCGTGTTCTCGTACACTTCAATTTCCTCCTTATCCATAAACGTTTCATACATATTTGCTAAGGGATTTTTTTCAGAATGCTGTTCTGACTGTTCAACTGCCATAACGCCATTTCGATCATACTGAAAATGACAGTCATTCAGTTCTCCAACGAATTGTTGAACTTCTGCATTTATTTGGTCTTGTACCAAACCGTCTTCTTGTGAATGATTACTGAACTGATGTTGCTGGTATCCCTCCATTTCTTAGCTGAAAATATCGTTGTGATGGAAAAGTTTAATTAATAATCTGAAATATGATAAAACCAGAAAATTATCTTTACTTGGCAATCACTCGATTAACACGTATATCAACAAGTATACTAATGCTCAGTACTCTAATTTCCAGACTCTTTTATAGTACCTCTATAATCGGCCGTCCAGAAAGTACCTGCAGGATGGTATCTTTACTTGGCAATCACTCGATTAACACACTTCATAACGAATCACTATCGGCATTCTTGACATCAACAGATCCAAAGTCCTCAGATGCGATTGTTACTCAAGTCAGTTTTTTTTCACCTATTTAATGTGTCTGTTCGTCATTAATAGCGATATAAAATGTATCAAACTGATTTATCATGTATTTACTTTACATCATCTTACGTGAAATGCGTTATAGTTCAATGAATATTCAGATCATACTATTATTGTATTGATGTAGAGGGACTACATCATCTTACGCTAGATGGGTTATAGTTAAATCAATCAAATTATGCATACATGAAATATCAAACGTAGTGAATCACTATGATAGGCATTCTTGACATCGACGGATCCCAAGTCCACAAATGGAATTGTTACTCAAATCTGTTTTTTTTTTTTCACCTGTTTCAATGTGTCTGTTCGTCAGTATTAGCGGAGTAACCTTTCTCAAACTCAATCATTATAATATGGATCACTAAATATTTGAATAAATCAAATAATGCATCTTTTCATAACGAATCAGTATCGGCATTTTTGACATCAACAGATCCAAAGTCCTCAGATGCGATTGTTACTCAAGTCTGTTTTTTTTCACTTATTTAATGTGTCTGTTCGTCATTAATAGCGAAATAAAATGTATCAAACTGATTTATTATGTATTTACTTCACATCCATCTTACGTGAGATGCGTTATGGTTCTATGAATATTCAGATCATACTATTATTGTATTGATGTAGAGGAACTACATCATTTTACGCTAAATGGGTTCTGGTTCACTGATTATTAAATTGAATAATTATGATCAAATCAGTTAAATATTGTATATATGAAATGTTAAACCTAGTGAATATACAGGATACTCCTTCATATGATCTCTCAATAGTATCATTATAGTCGCTTGGTTTTATGTTTCATCATTCTCAAGTGAATATCTTTCTTAGTGTATAGAAATATTTATACTCTGTTAGGAATGCAAGTAAGAAGGAAAAGAGGAAGAATACGTATGGCTGCAGAAGGGACCCAACAGCTATTTGATATTTGCAAAAAACTAGTAAAAGACGAGGTCGACTTGAGTTCTTGGCAAAGCAAAATTAAAGAAGAACTTGAAGAGGAATACATTGATAATGATGTCGAGAACTTGGAAATTGGAGAAACTGTACAACTCAAAAATGTCGATACCCATTATCAACAGTATGAAAAGTTCAATAAGGGCATTCTGACAATCGGTTGTGTGGGTCAGCCGAATGTGGGAAAATCGTCATTGATGAATGCTGTGATGGGCAGAAAAGTGGTTAGTGTTTCAAAGACACCAGGCCACACCAAACATTTTCAGACGATTTTTCTCACTCCCAACGTTAGATTGTGCGATTGTCCTGGTTTAGTGTTCCCTTCTAAAGTTCCAAGACCACTCCAGGTGCTGATGGGTAGCTATCCAATCGCCCAGCTGAGACAGCCTTATATAACAATTAAATACCTGGGTGAGTTGAATCTTTATTTGGTTACTAAGGTTACGCGAGGTTTACATCAAATTAGACATAATTTAAAATGAAACATTGGTTTTTGACTTCAAAGTCAAGACATTTTCCCAATCACCAGAAATAGACTCAAGCAATTTATTTGCATAATATCTCATTGCATTGCATCGTCTGGAAAGACTTGAAAATATAAAAATACATACAAAGTGCACTTGAAAATACAATATAGTATATGATTTATTATTGAAATTTGAGATTGAAGAAATTCATCAATGTTATAGGGACACATGCTTCATCAATAAAAAAAAACCTTATCACTTTTTTTACTAAATCGAATGGCCAGGGTGAAAACATTTATTGATAACAGCTGTTTTGACACACTGTGTCATCATCTGAACTCCTACTTTTTTAAATTGAATTTACACATATTTGGAGCTGAAACTGTAGAACATTACAGAATTCCTTAAGACCACCTCCCATTATTTTGTACTATTACAGTTATGGAAGATTTCTGAAGGAGTTTTTTGTTCATTCTTTTTGTAGTAGGTAATAAAAAAAGCCGTTGGTATTCATTCATACATTTAGCTGCCAAAATATTCCAAATCGATTCATACATTTTCAATAGTTCTCTTGAAAATTCTCAAAGACTATTGATTTAGTACAGACAGTATTGGACCTGCATTGTCTGAGAAGTGTTAACAGATTTGAAATTTATGAAAAAAAAAATCATAGTTCCAGTCATAAAAGCTGGAATTGAGAATGAAATTCAAAAATTGAAGATGCTAATTTGTAAAGAAAACAAATTATTACGACCTGAAACGAAAATGAATTAATAAATGAAATGTGAAGTGTATGGAAAAGATGAAAATAAAAGAAATAATGCAAAATAATCAAGTAAGGAAGATAAATGATGAAAATTGCAAAAAATTAAGAAAACATTACAAACCAAGCTACTTCATATTTTTCAATTACAGAAAAAATATTTCATATTTTTTGATAGTATTGTTTCTTTGCAATAATTTTTTCACCTTCCACAATCTGAAACAAAATTAAAAACTAATTGACAATTTAGTGATAAATAGAACATTTTTATTTGTATAAAATACTTTGAATTAACGCAGTACCAAGTACAGTAATTTTCCACAATTTGACACCTTTCCAAAATGTCTTGAAACTCTACCGATTAAAGAAAATTTCAAGCACTGGTTGAATATTTTTTCTGATTTCCACTTTCAATAAGTTATCAGTGTTCATCAAGTACTTTATTGACCAGAGTTTTATATATAAACCAATTTTGTTCGAAATATACTCAATATCGAAATGTATGCGCACAGCAAACAGACAGACGACAGAATAAGTTGTTAATAACATTTCCATTTTCTATAAATGCTATTTATTTATTTTTTTCATATTCTTTCATCTTTCGATAATATCATTCACAACCTCCACAAGAAACGAGCATAGGTAATAGATGAATGTTCAGATAATTTTTTTTGGCTTTTTGAATATTCCTCTTTTCAACAGTCCAAGCAAATGTTTTGTTTTAGCCGAAAGGTTGGATTTGGTGTCTATGTTGAGGATTGAACATCCTTATCAAGAAGATACTTGGTCTGCAATGGACATTTGTGACGGCTGGGCAAAAAAAAGAGGTTACCTAACTGCAAAAACGGCACATTTTGATTCTTACAGGGCAGCAAACAGTTTGTTGAGAATGGCTTTAGATGGAAAGATTTGTTTGTGTTTGAGACCACCATCATATACTGAGAATAAAGGTGAGTATTTGAAATAATCGAAGTAAATTATGTAGTCCCAAAGAAAGATTTTTAATGGTGTCACAACTGTTATGCAGTTTTCGATGGCATACTACACCTGGTAGAAATATTAGAATTGGGTAAGGAGTTTTGAAGTGTCTTTAGAAGAAATAAAAATCATCAACTCCCTTGCGTCATTTTCCTCAGCTGTCAAATCACGTCACTGATTAGTTAACAATAAATCTGGCATTTATTTTTGGAGAAAGAAAGAACAGTGACTTTCATTGACGACAAATTACAGAATAGGTTTGACAAAATGGTTAAGGCTTTCACAGTTGTGGCTTTCAATGTCACTATTTTTATTCGGATTTGAAGGCCTATAACTTTTGAAATTTCTTCCTGGCGTTTTGGCGTTTCGCAGGCGCGAGTAGCTAGTTTCTTCAAAGGTTCATACATCTTGAGTTTATCTCCGATAACTGGGTATTCCGACTGCGTAAAGCATGTTTATAGTAATTCAGGTAGTTTGGATGCTAATTACTGTACTTGGATTAGGTAAATTGTCAACAACATTCGTTGATCCTCTTCCACACTGAGGCGTACTTACTTAAAAAATTAAATTTCATTAAAAACAATTCTTGACATCAATTTTATGTACGTCACAACCAAGGCGTGGATTCGAATTCTTGAGATTTGATTGAAAAATTAAGATGTTCTTTAGTAAGCTGAAAGGGCGCCAGCCAATTAATATTCTTATATAAATTGACGTGGAATGGGGAATCAAACAAAAAATAAATGCAGATGTATGAATATATAATTAATCAATAAATATATGAGAAATTGCAAAGAGGTTTGCTACTCTTATAAATATGGCATAAATATTATTGAATTAACAAGTAGCAGGAAACTAAATACATATGAAACGCTGAGATTGGTTTCTAGTGAAACCAACAAATAAGAATACATGATATGAACATCAAAATTTTATAATGAATATAACTCAATACTTTTAATCAATGAGGATTGTTCAATCAACAGCTGTCGATTAAATCACAAATAGGTATACATGAACAATATTTAAGGATCAATAATCATTCGGTAACAATAATGAATAAAACGCATAAACTTCTATACTTCAATAGTCCATTTGACATTGAAAGAGAAGACATGTAGGTACTCACTCTGTCTCAAGAAGTAAGTTTTCACGTACTTATTTATCCGGAAGGGGTGAAATTCCACGAGTCTTCCTGAAATTGCAGACCAGACCGAAATTATTCAAAAAAATTGTCTTCAACCACGCTAGTTAGTGGCGTATCTCGCATCGAATTTCTTATAAAATGGACATCGGCTCTCAAGGTAGACAATACAACGACATAACAGGCAGTTAACGATCAAGATATAGATGAAGCCAAATTTTCCAGATAAAGTTGAATCGATTGAATTTAACGTCAACTTCTTGATCTTTTTCCTTCTTTTAGACCTGAAACGAGAACGTCGTTTCTGCAAATCTACCGAAAAAAACTAGAAATTGTAATTTTTTTAATTATTTACCTTAGATTCTTTTTAGACCTTTGAAGTTGAATAGGTACACCAAGTATGAAACTTATTTTATCGAACAGCACCGACCCTTTGCTCGATGTTCATTCACTGAAGCTTCCTACCGTTGCTTCAATTGTCCTCTGTCTACCTGCACGCCATTTCGATGAACCTTTTTCCTGAAGTACGAAAAATCACTCTCTAGCAGCGCTAGTAGTTCGGTAGGGACAAAACACTGCCTAATCCTCATATAAACATATGGTAAAGTACAATTAAAAAAGAATGTTCTTAACAGAAGATGTTCCTGGAGCAAAACTAAAATTTGCAACTGTAAAGGATAACAATGTTGTAACATTAAAACGTTGGCTTGCATGCCATAATTTGAAAGTAACTTGAAAAAAAAGTTAATTAATAGACAGGTTAGTATACAGACTGTAGTAAAAGAGTAGACTGTAATAAAAGAAATTTAAAATAATTATGAATTTCAGATTTATTTCCCAGTGAAATATGAATCAAATATAGATGGTTATGAAATAAATGTAATTAAATGTAATAAATGGATATAATTCAATAAACGATTGAGGTTATATCTCATTCTAATAAATGGTAATTAACTATGAAAAATTTAATATTCATTTCATGTTTAGAGCATACATATGAATATTAATTTTTTGCACAGTTAAATCCACTCTGCTCGAAGCATATAATCCATTTCTTACATCTAACCTCATTTATAAATGGTATAAAAAACACGTTTTACTCCGGATATCGATTATCCGACGTAGAATTCGCAAAACAGCAATGCTTTGTTGGCATTATACTAGCACATAATAATTTTTTATATCAGATTTATATTTTTAAATAATAAATTAATATTACGTAAATAACACTTTTTTACATGTAAATAGTTTATGTTTGTCCCTACTACTAGTGCTGCCCCTCGTGACACGTTCGCTGTACTATTCTCAGGAAAAAGGCTCATTGAACTATCGAAATGTATATACAGGTTGTCCCAGCCTCTCATAAATGAACCGTTACAACCCGCCGTCATGATGTTTGTTATTCTTGAACCACAGGTTTGAAAACACGAAACTCATTGCCCCCAACCAGAGATACCATAGTTGACTGGTACGGGATGCAATAGAGATCCTCAAACACACGGATAATTTCAACAGACAAAAAGAAGCTGTGAACATCAACCGAATATGGAATTTCTTCATCAGGGATTCAAAAATAACAAACATGACGGAAGGTAGAAAAGGGTCAACGAATGTTATTGATAATGACCTTATCCATGTACAGTAATTAGCACACCAAACTACCTGAATCAACATAAATATGCTTTACGCAGTCGAGATACCCAGTCATCAGAGATGAACTTCGAAATGTATGAACCTATGAAGAAGCTAGCCACTTGCGCCAGCGAAACTCCAGGAAGAAATTCCAAAAATCGACGGTCTTCAAACCCGAATGAAAATAGTGATACAGAATGGTTTTATCGTCACAACGAAATACTTTCATACAGGTAATATTGTTTTTTGTTTCTTCCTTAAAAAAATAATTAGGTGTGTTGCCAATAAAGTTAACATAATTACCATAAATATTAACAAATTCTCTATATTTCGACGCATATCGTACCACTACTTACAAATAAAAATGACACTGCGGAAATACTTCCAAATTTGAAATATAAATTTTGAGAATTGACAGTCAGAGTGTATCCATGTAAAAAACGGAGAAGTATCGTTTGTTAACAATTGTGAACTATTCCAATTCTTTTCTCGGAACATTATTCATTCTTTTAGTAGGTTTATTTATATCGTCCAAGATGTCATCTCATATAAAATGTATCCCAGTTAAATTGACTGAAACTTGACAGAAATGTTCTTCAAAGCTATAAAACAGACATTCTATTAAAAATTCAAAACTTTTTCTTACATTCCCACATAATTGGGTCTGGCAAATGCCTCACTACTTCTCTAAATTACATTCAGAAATGTGATTTTTTTTTCAAATTTATATTCAAAATATTTATACATCCTTTCAGCACAGATACACACATCTTAGGTTGAGACCGTGTTACCCAACAGTATAGTTGCTTCCCTCTTTCAGAGTTCAGGCATTAAAGAATTTTTCAATTTGGTTTGTTTCAGAACATCAATTGGGATGTTCAAAGAATTCTTTGACGTACTGCAATAATGAAAATATCTCAGGACTTTTAAATGGTTATGAAATATCCTATAGTTCTAGATAAAAATGTTTTAACCAAAATCTTAATTTTATACCATATATTCCTTGTATATAATGAATAAAAAAATTCTAGAGTATTGGATCTCACACCCTGAAGTGAAAACTGTGAAATGGATTCAAGCTCGATCACCAGAAGATGAAGTCACTGAAAAATTTGTCCCTTACGAGAGTGACACATCAGATTGCGAAAATATTGTGGGTGATGATAAAGTAGTAGGACAGGACTCGGACAATGAAGATGAAGAGGACAGTGAATGCAGTGAAGATAGTGGGGATGATGAAGGAAATTTCATCGGGACAAACAAATTCGCACCACTAGGTCCAGATGAGTAATATCAACTACTGAATCATTATGAATTTTCCAATAAATTATTATTCACTGTATATTTCCAAAACTTATTTTTTTAATGGAAGCTTTTTTTTCTTCGCAGTAGCAGCGACATTGAATTCATCAGTTACTAAATTTGCTGCAACGATTTCAGCACTTTGCTTCTTAATATCATCATGAGTCAATACGTGTGAATCCAGAAATACAGTTTCAATTAACGATTCTTCGCTTATAACTGCATCAATATGTAGGGGTCTGCTTCTGTCGTGCATCATCGCTTCGAACATTTTGAAACCTTCTTCCATCGTGGTACCAGAAATTATTTCTTTAGAGTATGCAACTAGTTTTGAGAGTTTTGTTATAAGTTCTGGAATGATCTTGGTACCTGAAATAATGGACATGATTTATTTTGCTAACAAACTATTTTTTTACACAAAAATTAGATGGGGTCAACTCAAAGTGTCAAAAAATAAGTTACCCGTTAATGACACTTTGAAGGGATCAGTAAAATTATTTGATGATGATACAACAATTATATATGAAAAAGAAAGGTTTTGGCTTTCTACTTCTCCAATGTGGGAAACTTCCAAAGAAAGGAAGGAAGAAATCAATTTCAAAAAATGAACTCTTGTGGAATTGGTCGCGGTAGTAGTGCGCCCGACTCACAACGGAAGGTCGTGGGTTCGATCCCGCTTCTACCAGATATTTTTGTCGAGATAATTCATCTGGTTGAAACTGGGATGATTCTGCAACCGTGTTAGGAATCACACGTTAAAAGATAAGACCTGGTTAGTCCTTAGTTGGCACAAGTTTCTCAACTTCTGAGAGTTGCCGTTCATATGGGGGCGACAGCTGATTAACGGAAAAACAGATTTAAAGAAATGAACTCTAAAAATACACTGTGTCCAAGATAAGAATGAGCAGCATGGGGATATCGAAAACGGTAAGTGATACGGGGTCGATTGAATTAGAGAAAAGTAGCGCATTTATGTGCCCAATAATATGCCATTTAGGAAGTTTTAATATTCCGAGTAGTTTCGAAGATATCCGAGAAAATTTCGTTTTTATTTTCTCCTAGCTTAATTTTTAAAGGAAATGTAAAACGAATAGCACTTTGCCAAGGCCACTTTTTAGGGAGTACACAGTAACGTAAGCAGAATTTTTCTGTGACGTTTTGTCTTTTAGAAAACATCAGAAACTTTATATTTTTATATGGGCCGAAACTAAAGTATACTCTGTATACGACTCCATTTTTCATTATGAATACAGCAACCTATCACACAATATGATTTCATAACCATTTCTCGCGCAAAATGAAAAGTGATTACTTAACCTGCTTTACTTCAATTTATTCATTTATTATTTATTTATTTATTATTTAGTTATTTATCAGTTTACAAACTCTACAGATCATGGCCCAGTTACAGAGTAGGAAAGGTAAATATCACAAATAGATTTTTACATATAAGAAAATGACAAAAAAGTTATGTAAAAAAAATTCAACAAGAGTTATACAATTACATACAACCTATTTCTAAAACTAGTAAGATTTTGGAAGAAGATATCACAGTCATTTTGTACATTATTATAGGCATTGCACATAGCATTTAATGGGGCATTTTGATAATAAGTTGTTCTTACGGATTCAATATAAAATGTGCGAAACAATCTTGTTTCATTGGCAGGTACATTGAAATTGATTTTTGATAGGAGACAGGGATCATCCACTTCCAATGTATCATCTAATACAAGTATATTAAGAATGCAAATACTCTTCTTTTCTCGAGGGTTTGTATGTTGTACTTTTCAAGTAGCACTACTTTGGAAATATCAAGGTCATATTTACTTGTTTCTTTGAAGTGAAGATATCTCAGGAACTTGTTTTCAACTCTTTCAATGCTATACTTATGACAATTTTAGAGAGTATGCGCTGGAAAAAATGATACATAATGTTCTGTTGTCATAATAATACTGTTTGGAAGAATTTTTGACATATTACCGTTCCTACTTTTACATCTTGTCGCCTACCTAATTTGTGTTAAACATGGAAAACGGCAGCTTTTCGAATACTGAAAAATTTGATATGTTATCATGTTACATTTTGTGCCAAAGAAATTTTGTTAATGATGAACGTGGATACTCTAATAAATATCCAGAGAGGCGACAACCTGATAAATAAATATTCAGGTTTCAAAAACTACACCTCACGATTTGATCTCCACAAACTTTATTCGAAAAATATATCACAACATGTTTCGCTAAGACATTAGCTTTTTCAAGTGATTTATACTTCAAGTTATTCTTACAATAATATTTATATACTACAGGTAACCATAATTGAGACTACTTCCAAAAAATTACCTGAACTTAACGTACCTGTTCAATTATGATCACCTGAAGCATATTACCTCACATCTACAACAACAATAATTTTTTCTCAGTTTTTAAGAAAACAAGTTCAATAATGGTGATCTATTCAAATCAAGTTGGTCATTCATTTAGAATGTTTGAATTTTTAAGTTTATTAATTTTCATTGCTTTCAAATGATTCAGTTTCAAACTTTTATTTTCTATATGCAAAATTTCGAACTCTTCGTTGAAGATATGATTTTCTTCTAGAAGATTTGAATATATTGAATTTGTTTTCTTATTGACATAGCTCGTATGATGTTCCTGGATTCGATTCCTAAATATCCTGCCAGTTTGACCAATATACACCAATATATTTAGGGTTGGGATTCTCGGTACGAATTTAATTCGGCCTTTTCTCTATCAAAACAATTTACCAAAAGAACGGTACGTAAATTTGTTAGTAAATGATTTGGAAGATGCTCCAGATAGTTTGCCTTTGGCAGTTACTCACAGCTGCTGGTTTCAACAAGATGGTGCTCCAGCACATAACGCTAGAATTGTTTGTGATTATTTGAACCGTCGCTTCCCAGGACAGTGGATTGATACTCATAATGATACATTCTGGCCTGCAAGGTCCCTCTACCTAACCCACTAGACTTTTTTCCTTTGGAGATATATCAAGAATCAAGTTAACTCTCATAATTGTCAAAATGAAGAAGATTTGCTAAGATTGGTTACTGCATCCTTTAACAGTAATATTGTTCCAAATATGTTAACTCAAGTTTTAAATTCGTCTGTGACACGAGCGTACTTGTGCTTAGAAAATAACGGTGGGTTATTTGAAAATTTGTTATGTTTCTGTTTAGCCCCTTGTTATTACATTACCTACAATTACATTTTATAAACTAAACTTTTGATATTGCGACTCATCTTTGTAGTCAACAATGAAAAAATTCCGGCAAGTGGTAATTTAAAATTCATTATAAATAAGACTATCTAAAATTGAAGAAAAGCATGTTAAGTAATTATTTCATTTTGCGCGAGAAATGTTTATGGAATCATATTATGTGATACGTTGCTGTATTCACAATGACAAATGGAGTCGTATACAAGGTATACTTTAGTTCCGGCCCATATAAAAATATAAAGCTGATGATGTTTTCTAAAATACAAAACGTCGCAGAAAAATTCTACTTACGTTGTCGTGTACCTAGTCCTTAAAAAGTGGCCATGGAAAAGTGCTATTCGTTTTACATTTCCTTTGAAAATAAAGAAACTGAAACTAAAAACAAAATTCTATAATTTCGGTTTTTCTCGGATATCTCCAAAACTACTCGGAATATTAATAAAACTTTCTAAATGGTATATTATTGGGCACATAAATGCGCTACTTTTTTCTAATTCAATCGACCCCGTATCACTATCACTTACCGTTTCCGATATCCACATGCTGTTCATTTTCATCTTGGACACAGTGTATACCCCTTTCAATACAATTTCAGAGTGCTACAACAATATAAGTTGAAAACATGAAAGAACTGATAAATTGATTAAGGCTTTCGCGGCCAAGATTTTCAGTGATACGATCTTCGTTCGGGTTTGAAGGCTGTCGTGGTTTGGAACTGTATCCTAACGTTTCGCCTGTTTCTTCTTCCGAAGAAGCTAGCCACTCGTGTTGGCGAATCGTTAGGATACAGTTCCAAACCACGACAGCCTTCAAACCCGAACGAAGATCGTAACACATGATAGAACTAACCGATATTTAATGAAAATCCATTATAACGTATTCAGAAAAACACATTTCATTGTGAGATTTCCACTTGAAAGTTTACAAAACCGCAACACGTATTTCGCTATACCATAGCATCTTCGACTGTGACGCAAATCATGTATCGCGGTTTTGTAAAGTATCGAATGGAAATATCACATTAAAATGTTTTTTTTTACTACAATATAAGTTAATTCTAAGTTTCACAAAATATTCATTATATGCAACTTTCATATTTACTTTATCGAGTATATATGTTGAAGCCCTCTCGTGTATTGGGGTTCATATGGAATTACTATAAACTTGTTATTAACTCTCCTCTTTTTGAAAAGTCGAAGATTTACGAAGTGCTTCCCTAAACTTGCATTTTCTAATTATCTTGTCAACTATATCTGGGTTAAAACCGTTTGCTTCAGCTACATACCGAATCACTCTATTTTCATTGTCGTACTCATCTTTCTTTAAAGGAAAAGTTATTAACCTGTGTACCAGAAATTGCAGTGCCGCCATTTTGTGTTGTGGACAATGATTCGAGTCATTGGAAATGTACAGGAAAGACAGTTTATAGCAATCTCATATGAACCCCAATACACGAGAGGGCTTCAAGAGGGCTTCAACAGCAAATTCATCGGCCAGAGCCCACGAGCGATTAAAACCCGCTTCAAGGAGCATTGTGCACACATGAAATACGGAAGGATAGAAAAATCCAGTGTCGCCCAACATGCTCTAGACAAGAACCACAGAATTGGTGAAAACAATCGGAAACTGATTAAGCATGTGCATGACACCAGGCTACTCGATGCATGTGAGAGTCTAGAAATAGCAAAATGTAAGAATAGCATGAATGGCGATAAGGGACCCATCCCGTTTAGCCGCTTTTTAATTTTCTGTTAGGAAGAGAATAATTACTAAGAACTTGCAGGTAGTTAATTACCGAGAAATTCCATATTGGACTTCAGGTATACAACCTCAGGTAACAAATTTTAGTATATAAGGATTAACCAGACTAGACTAGGTATCAATTTTCTTCTCCTGAGGATGCTAACTTTGTTGGCGAAACGCGCGTCGAGTGCAAAAATATCAGTTTAGTGTTAGGGCAATTGATATCGGAAAAAAGTTATTCAACTTTCACACCAAAGGTTCCAATCTTATCGTTATTAACTATTGGTGAGCCAAAAGAAAATTATAAGAATTGCCCATTTGAGCAACATAACACATGCGAAGCCAAGTTTTATTGAAATGAAAATCTTGACGTTACCTTGTAT